TCTCTGCTGTCTTTCTGTGTCACATGAGAGAAATACAGGTTTCCATCTCGGCCCTGCGTGACGCGCTCGTTCTGCTCGATGTGCCGCAGGACTGAAAGAGAGAGAGAGAGAAAGAGCCTCATTTACCCACAGGTAGACTCCTGCCCCAGTCAGACCCAGAGAGCTAGACTCCGGAACAGCAAGAGACACAAGAGGAGACTCGAAGACAGACAGGAAGAGGTACCGTGGAGGAGAGGAAGACAAACAGGTAGCAGGACTTACATTCGTCCATCCAGTGGATATATGGGGTGACAATGCTTTTCGGGGGGTTACAGGGCAGGATCACGCTCTCCCCTTCCTCCACCACCTTCGGCACTATGTTCTCCTTCTGCCACTTCGGCGGCTCTGGCACACAGTGGGGACAGGACTGCTGTCAGGCGCAAGTTGCTGACATGTGGAAAACCAGCTGCACGGTGAGACTGAGCAATCACAACTTGTTTTGTTTTTTTGTACAAACACATAGGACTGGAGGCACATCTTCCCAACCAAAGACAGCCACAGCATCCACTTGGGGGTGCTAACGCCCTTCTGTCCAGCTTCCTTCATTTAGATATAGTGTCTACAGACAACGTAGGTAAAATCTCCCGGCCCTCTCCTTCCTTCAGTGAAGGACACTGCTCCGAGCCTTAAACAGGCAGACATTCCTCTGCCTCATGCCTGGATGTGCTGACTGCTTGTGCATTTCTAAGGCTACCGAGACAGACAGCGGTTTCATCGTTTGTGATCTGAACTGGTTTTGTATTTATCAGGCTGCCTCTGACATTACTCCCACACTGGCTGCCTGGACAGGTTTCCCAGTTCTGAGATGAGCAGCAGAGCTGCTGTAAAGGCTATATGTTAATTTGCAAGGCTAGCAGGACCTCACGAAGACACTAGGACCACGCAACATGATTGCAGTTTTCTTTTATAGGTGAACGCAGGGCTGCACGTATGCGTGTATAAAAACACCCTGACACACAGAGAGCTATTGATCCCCCAGGAGCCCTTTCTCTGCAGCACGGAGACTGCTGTGTGACATCATGGGCTGCCCAGTTTCCTGGGTAACAGTTGTCAAGGCAACGGTGGGGAGGGACTGACAGGTAGCTTCTCTGTCTTAAGCGTGCTGAGCCAGGAAGAGCCCCCAGCTGCCACAGAACTGGATCCACGGGCAATCCATTCTGTGC